GACAGAAGTCTCCGATCTGGCTATTCTTTAAGTCGGCTCACGGGCTGCGTAAAAAGTATATGCAAAGAAAGCAAATTGTGCGAAACAAAAAAGTGTTTGCTAATCGAAGACCTGAGATTTCACGTAGGTCACATAGATAAATTACAAAAAGATATGGCGATTTTTGTATTCTTATGGGTTTCTAAAGACTTTGCATAAAATTCCTAAACTCTTTGTTGCTCATCTTGTTCCCAAAAATGAAGGCCTTTCATCGGCTACTCGCTTAGAAAAACGGTTTCAGTTACATATTGCTATTTATATGAATTTCCCGCGCAGCTACGCTTCAAGCCTCACAGCAGGCTTGTGGACATGCTAGTTTGTGCAAATAATTATCGGAAACGCTTGTAAATGGGTACTAAAAAAGGCGGAAACGGAAGAAGAAGTTATAATTCCTCTCTTTTCCAGACCCCGTACAATTTCTTTTTTGCTTTTCTCCCCAAAACGATTTCCAGCTTCCTTTCGGAGACCGCTGCCGAGCCATGATTAGAACAATGCCTCTTCTATAAAATGAGAAGCTTAAATACGTTAAACAGCCAATATTCAGGAAAATGTGATTCGTCTGCACGGCGTTTGTACGTCCAAAGAACCGATCATGATAGTGATGGAATTGTGCCCGGGAGGATCATTGTCAACACGTCTACAGGATCTCAAAGACCAAGTAAGTGATCGTTAATGGTCACGGTAACCTCTAAATATTTTACTAAATATCAATTTTTATCCCTCAATGGCTACCAAAGTCAACTACGTTTATGGTGCAGCAAGAGGAATGGCATACCTGCAAAGTAAAGACATCATTCATAGGTAAACTGTGGTCCAGCGGAAGTTATTATGATCTTTCAACTACAAATTTTAGAGACATCGCAGCCAGAAACTGCCTTCTCGGGGAGAATGAATGTGTCAAAATTTCAGATTTTGGGTTATCATTTATTGGAAAGACCTTAAGAGAGAAGAAGTTAAAGAAAGTTCCTCTAAGGTAATCCAAGCATACCTTCTCAAAGGTTAAGGCCCTTTTCGTTGGGAAACTTTTGAGGCGGGCGGTCGCTTGAATAAAAAAATGCGGAAAAAGCCAAATAACGGTAGCTTGCTCGCCTTCAGTATTAGCAGAACTACTGATGATAGGAACACATTGCATTTTCCTTCTCAACTTCGTTTTTCATCTACCATTATATGTATAGATACAGCGGACAGTAGCCCCTAGGTCTAATGATTGCAGGTGGTTATCGCCGGAAACACTGAAATCTGGTGTTTACTCCACCAAAACCGATGTCTACAGTTTTTCGGTTATGATGTGGGAAATCTTTTCATTTGGCCAACTTCCATTCTACAAATATGATAATCGAGTTTTAAGAAAATTAATCATACAAAAAAAGGTATGCTCTGTAGTATTAGCTTTGCCAAAAAATAAATTAGATCTTCCTCAAGGTCACGCTGTCAAAATGTTTGGGGGAGATACCCCCAGAAATGGAAGAGTTGCGCTTACGTTGCATGGATTACGATCCCAACAAGAGACCAGACTTTATCGAGATAGAGGCTATTATTTCTGAGGTTAGGAGTACTTACATATTTTTCAAAATATTCTTTTCTGAGTCTTATTCGAGAGATTTGCTACATAGAAGCAACCTTGTTCTAGATGCCAGATGTGATCAAACCAAAACCGCCATCTTGGTGGACTCGAATAAGCACAGCAATCAGCGACTACATTTATGGAAGAGTTTACACTTGAAATCACATGAGCTAGATGTATCTCTCAAGCTATTACATAATTTAAAATGCGTTACGTGACTGCTTTCATAGTTTACCAACAAATATTCCAAGAAAATACCTTCTGTGCATACTTACTCGCCTCATCGGTTTGCATAGTGTCCACATAAACAATTATTATAAATATTTAATACTATAGCTTT